ATCACAACAACAGGCTTAAGCAAAGTAGAGGATGCTAGGATGGCACAGGATTGGGCAGGGGTTCAACCTGCTGTACTTGGGGTCACTAAGAGTCAATTGACGTCAAAATGCCTACAAACAACAACAAGGAACCCTATGTGCTCATTATATAGACTCTTCTTCAAATAAAGGCACTGCAGGATTACTGTAAGGGTGCCAGGTTATTGGAGTGATAGGGGAAGAGAATTAAAGGGCAATTTTGTTGAATACAAAAAAAAAAAAAAAGAAGCTAATGAATGTTAACGTTTAGGTAAACTGATTTGGGTCAATCAATTATGTAATACTAATAGATTATAAAAAACCCTAAAAGAGAAACAACTATGAGATATCATCTCACCCCAGTAAGAACAGCAAAACTTAACAGAACAGCAAACAAGAAATGCCAATGAGGTTGTGGAGAAACCAGAACCCTTATTCACTGTTGTTGGGACTGTAAAATTGTGCAGCCGCTATGGAAGGCGGTGTGGCACTTTCTCAAAAACTTGCAAACAGAAATACCATTTGACAAAATAATTCCACTACTGGGAATTTACCCCAAAGAAACCATAACCACCACCCAAGCAGACATATGCCACCCATGTTTATTGCTGCTTTGTTCACAATAGTAAACAGTTGGAAACAACCCACATACCCATCAAAAAACAAGGAACTCATGAAATATTAATGGTTGACCCTGGAGGACATTACCCTGAGTGAGATATCTCAGTCACAAAATGACAAATACTGCATAGGGCCACTGTTGTAAAACAGGACTGACATCAAGGTTGGGGGGAGACTGAGAAAGATGGGATAAATTATGTATACTGCATTGAAAAAGATGAGGGAGAGAACTGCTTAAAAGGTATATATGACTAGGTATTATTGTCATTACAGGAGTCCAGAATGAAGGCTACACAGTGGAGTGGACTGGGGGAGGAGGGATTGTATAACAATGAAAGAATTTTTCTTTTACTTTTCAAACTGAAGTCTGCACAGTGGAGTGAACTTGGGGTGAGGGATTGTATAACAATGAAACAATTTTACTTTTCAAAGAGAAGAGAGAACGGGGGCGGGGGAGGTTGGCCATGAAGAAAAGTGCAACAATGAAGGAATGGAAATCCAAAGTCGCTGTAAACTTTCATTTAAATGAATAAAAAATAAAAATTTTTAAAAACCTGAAAGAGAAACTAGACTTCCATACAATGATGAAAGTTTGCTAGCAACAGTTGTGCATAATTTATGTAAATATACCTATTTTGGGTGGAACTGTTAACTTTTTCTCTTAGGGTATTTATTGAAGATTATTTTAATATCTGCTCCGCGGGAGAAGGATGGGCAAGCTCCTCGCTGGAGGGTCAGCTGTCAGTACATAGTAACAACAACACATGATAACACTACATAATTATTCTATAATCGTTGTTGTTGTCATGTGATCGAATCAACATGAACGGCGAGAGGAGATATTATTTTCTTCGATCATAACAGGAATTTCACCTTAAAAGAGCAAAGCCCCAGCTTTTGTGCGAGACCATCTTTCAGCAGAACCGGCTTGTTTCCAACTTTAGACGTCAAGCTCAACAGTCGTTGCTAAGCAACGCCTGGTCCCGGCGTCAGCGTTGAGAGTTAGCATTTGCTGCCGTAAATGAAACCCGGAGCGCCACGGCGGTTGCTAGGCAACGGCTTGCCGCTACGCCATGTTGGCGGACTTGGCGCTGTTTGCGAAATTAAATTATCAGTCGTCGGATGAGTGCTAATGAGTACCTTGTATCCGCCGTCTCTTCATTTCACTCACTAAATAGTCAAAGCATTTCCACGACATTACGACGCCCTTGCAAACGCGCCAGCGCCCTCTTTGTTAGCGACCCCGGGACTTCCGGTTGGGGCGGAAAAGCACCTTACGGGGTTTGGGGGCGGCGCTGGATGGGCTAAGGGCGCTTTTGAGTTGCATGGAGAAGCGGGAATTTAGCACAGTCGCTGCTAGCTTCCTATCTCGCTCTCTTGCGGCTTGAGACGGGAACCCGGTGTAATGGGATCGCTGCAGGCTCCACGGCGGCCAGTAACCCTCTAACCGGCCCTTGTGGATGACCGACGGGGGTCCAGATGGGGGAGGAGGGGACGGAGGGCACCGTGCATCTGCTGTGCCTTGCCACCTCCAGCGGGGTCCCCCTCTTTTGCAGGAGCACTCGCGGCGGCGTGCCCACGCGGCAGCAGGTGGGGCCTGATGCCTGATGCCTGAACGTGGCCAAAGCGGAGGGTGGTTAAGCACTTTGGACTCTGGGTCCCAAAGAAACAGGGACTGGGGAAATTTCCATGTTAAGGGACGAAAGTGCGATGGACGGTGTAGAGAGGGGTCTGAGCCAGGAGCCTTTGGCCGTGGCATCCTAGAATGAGGAAATGAAGATGCCTGTCTGACACCCCACTCCCTCCCCAGCTCCCCTTCTCGGTCATCGGCTCCCTCAATGGAGTCCACATGTTCGGGCAGAATCTGGAGGTGCAGCTGAACTCTGCGAGGACCGAGCACACGACTGTGGTGTGGAAAAGCTTCCATGACAGGTCCCCAACCGGAGCTTGGAACAGGGGAAGGGGCTGGGGGTGTGATAATCCCTCTTAACGAAAACACCTAAAAAATTTTTAGCCACTCAAGTCCAGCTCTTGATTTAGCAAGGCGGTTTCTAAACAGCCTCATTTTCTCCTCGGTGGGAGATGAGAGGATGGAGCTGGCATTTCCAAATTAAAGGGATGACCCCACTACTCATGGCCCCGTGCCCCCCAAGTCAGGACCATTCCTCTCCCACCTTCCCTTCACAGCATCACCCTCATTGTCCTGTCATCTGTGGAGGGCAGCTCGGAGCTGAGGTTGGAGCGGCTACTCCAGATGGTGTTTGGGGCCATGGTGAGATGTCCAGCTCCTTTCCCCCAATCCAGTTATCTGAGTTCACAGCATCCTCTTCCCCCAGGGCCCCTAGTCCCTCCTTCAGATCTAGGAGCCATTCCAGATTCCCAGACCTCTCCGGATCTCTTAGAACCTGGAGTCTGTGCCCCCAAATCCTCCATCAGTCCCAAGAATCCCAGCCTCCTCTTTCCTCAGACCCTGGCCTCCTAGCTCCCTCCTCTCAGGTTCAAGAGTCCAGGCCCCTGTTCCCTTCTCTCACAACCAGTTGTCCAGGGCCCCCCACTGCCCTGTATGCCCTGTATGGTTCTTCTAGGTTCTTCTCCTGGGACTGGAAGAGCTGACCAATATTCGCAACATAGAAAGACTGAAGAAGGAGTTGAGGGTAAGGCTGTAGGCCGGAAGGAGGAAGAGTTAGGACACACGGGCACAAGAGTTACCAGCTCACCAGGGTCCTAGATCCTTCCTTCTCCCTCTGCTAGGCCAGCTACTACCTCATTGACAGCTTCCTGGGGGAACCTGAGCTCATTGGGGACCTGACTCAGTGTGTGGACTGCGTGGTTCCTCCGGAAGGGTCCCTCCTGCAGGTACTGGGGCTGCCATGGAACCCTTCACCCCATCCTTCTCGCTCTGCCAGTCACATTTGGTACGTCGGTGATGGTTTGGACTGAGGGTAGAAGACTTGCTGATCGCTGGTTATATGCTTTGGTCATAGAGAGTCGCAGGCCCCGTTGTATCTAATGACACAGTACAGAGGGGGCTGTACCTGCAAGTGACATGAAGAACTCAAGCCCTGGAGGGTGACCCCCCTCAAACAGGCCCCCCAGGGGACTTGAACCTGCCTCCCTCCTGCAGGAAGCCCTCTCAGGGTTCGCTGAGGCCACCAGCACAGCCTTTGTCAGCCTCATGGTGTCAGGCCGCGTGGTGGCGGCCACCGAGGGGTGGTGGCGGCTGGGGATGCCCGAGGCCGTGCTGCTGCCTTGGCTGCTGGGCTCTCTGCCTCCGCAGACGGCTCGCGACTACCCGGTGTACCTGCCCCACGGGAGTCCCACGGTGAGTGGCAGGGGCGGGGTTTGGGGAAAACCAGCATTCTGGGGGCGGGAAAAGGGGCGGAGCTCCACATGGCCCCACCCACGGGCTTCAGGTCCCGCACAGGCTCCTGACCCTGACGCTCCTGCCGGGCCTGGAACTGTGTCTGCTCTGTGGGCCGCAACCCCCTCTCAGCCAGCTGGATCCACAGGTGAAATCTGCTCCATGCCCATCTATTCCCCTGGTCACTGAGCCCCTTTAACTGCTGGTGTCCTGGGAGGGTGGGTCCCCTGCTTGCCACGCCCTCTTTGCTCAGTCCCCGCCCCTCACAGGCCTCCAATCACCTGTTTTTAAAAGCGGCAATTTATTGGCCACGCCCACTGTGCTTATTCCCCGCCCCTCACCGACCTCCAATCACCTATCTTTAAAAGCGGGCAGTGTCCTGGTCACGCCCCTCGGTCCTCACTCCACCTCTTCAGGTCCCACCAATTACCACCCTTGCCCTCGGTGCCCGCTCCTTCCCTTGACCACGCCCTTCCCTTGGCACCGCCCACCTCACCCTGGATCCCGCCCAGCTTCGACCACGCCCCCTGACCACGCCCCTTGCAGCTCCTGGAACTATGGTGGCAGCCTTTGCTGGAGCCCCTCAGGGCCTGCGTGCAACTGGGACCCCGCGCGCTGCCTGCTGACCACCCCCTGCACGAGGACATCCTGGGGTAGGGCTGCGACCTCTGTGGGCTGGGGTCCTCACCTCTTCTGTGGCCATGACACCCCCCTTTCCCACAGGCTGCTGCTTCTCCACTTGGAACTGAGACGCTGTCTGTTCACGGTGGAGCCCTCCAGGGACAGAGGTGACTTGCAGACAGGTCTGGGAGGGCCGCAACCTGGGAGGAATCATTTTGTGACTCTGCCTCTTTTTTTGTCCTAGAACCTTCTGCAGAGCACAGGCGGCGCCTCCTCCGCTCCTTTTACACCCTGGTCGCCTCCATGCACTTCCCACCAGGTCAGCAGAGGGTCCCTTCTTCCAGCTTGCAGGCAGGGAGGGACACTGAGTGCTGGGACGCATTAGGATAGGCATGAGGACTGGAGTTGAAAAATCTGGCGGACAGTGTGGAAGCACTAGACTCCTCAGCACTGGCAGACACAGTTACCTGAGACCTTAACATGACAGTCACTGAACAAGTGCTTTTGTCCATAGCATCTCATTTCCTTCTTGGACACCCTGCTGTGTGTCAGGGAGGGAACCAGGCTCAGCTAGTAGTTAAGGGCAGAGTTAGGATTCTACTCAGGTGGCCTGGCTCCCAAGTCTCCTGCCTCACTCTATTATAAGCCCACGTTTGCTTACAGTTTTGGGGGGGGGGCAGGTGAACCCAGGTGAGGAAGAGTCACAGAATGTGACAGGATGCATTTCTGTCTGTTAACCTACTTCAGTCGAGAGGATCCTCTGTCAGGTTTCCAAGGCTATAAATCTTTAGGGTAAGAGACAGAATGACTGGTGGATTCGAACCACTGACCTTTTGGTTTGCATGCCAACGTGGTAATTTGCCACTGTTGTTGTTAAATGCCATCGAGTCATAGGTGACTTATAGAGACCCTATGAATGAATGACCTGAACACTTGTATAACTTTCTTCATTTCTCCAAATTCATAGGGTTTCCAGAGGCAAGATATTTCGGAAGTGGATGCCACTCCTGCTTCCAAGCTTGTTTTAATCACGGAGCTCCACAGAACACTGTCCGCCATCAGTGACCAGTCTCACATTTGGCACATCAGGGTCACAGTGTTTGGCGTCACAGCAACCACGAGTTAGCTTCTGTATAGACCAGTACTATACCACCTAGGAGACTGTTTGACCAAAAGCAATTACAAGCAGGCCTGAGGGACGCAGATTAAAATCACCCACCTTTAGCTTGGTAGCATCACTTTTTGTCCATTAGGCTAATTGAGCTCTGGTCTGTCGATTTGCTGTACAGAAGTAACGTGTGGTTGCTGTGATGCCAAACACTGAGACACTGATGTGATAATGGTCACCCATGGTGGACAGGGTTTGGTGGAGCTCCCTGATTAAAACAAGCTTGGAAGCAGGAGTGGCATCACTTCTGAAGTAGCTTGCTCTGGAAACCCTATGAACTTGGAGAAACTAAGAAAGTTCAACAAGTGTTCAGGTCTTTCGTTCATAGGGTTGCCATGAGTCATCTACAAATCGACGGCATGTAACAATTTACCACTAGGACTCCTTATATTCTTAGGGAAAATGGGGCCTAGGTAGGCAAAGGAAGGATCGGGAATGATGCTCCAGCCCTGGGGAAGACTGGTGGATGGAGCTTAGAAGAGTTTGGGGGCAGATCCTCAGAAGACAAGGGCTTATGTGTCACAGCACGGTGCCTAGCATGCAATCGCTGTCACTCGGCTACGATACTGTGTTCTTTCCTGAGGGCTGTCCACAGGACCCCCTCAGGGACAGACAGACCGAGGCTGGGTGACTGGAGCTGCCCCAGACCTCACCAGGTCAGACTCCAGCCCAGGACAATGTGAGGCTCCCTCCCACTGACGTCCAGGTCCTGCCAGTCACGTCCACCCTCTCTGTCCTTCCCCAGAACCAGGGCCATCATCGGAAGAGAAGGTGGAGGACACAGCCCAGAGGGCCCACCTGCCCCGGGCCTGCTACCTGGTGTCAGGCCCCGAGGAACCAGACACAGGATGGCGGCTGGTGGCTCTGCAGTCAGGACCTCGGCGGCTGCTGTTACTGCTGTCCCCGCAGAGTCCCACCCATGGGCTGCGGAACCTGGCCACGCACACTCTGCAGGCCCTCACCCCACTCCTCTGACCCCAGGTGTGGGGGATGGAAGGAGATAGCTGCTGGGCATAGAGGACCTGAAGGGACACAACAGAGCTTGGGGGAAGGGTCCTCCGTTGAGAATGGGTACCCACCATCGAGTCCCTTTCTCCTCTGTGCCTGGCAGTGGGTAGGGAGGAAAGGGAGACCTCCTTGCCTCACAAAACATAAATAGCAGCAAATGAAGAAAAATAAGATAAAACAGGGCCAGAGGAAGGGCCCAGGCATCCCCCACTCCTGGGACCTTCCCTGTCACTGGTGGAGCTGTCTTATCGACTAAAGGAACTTCAGGCCTCAGGGCCGCCAGGCGCTCGCCCCATTCCCAGGGACAGTGTGGCCCAGCAGCTCACAAAGGTGACTGACAGGAGAGGGGCTCCTTGCTGGGGGGGTAGGGCCAGTGGGTACATGGTGAGGGTGAGGGGAGGGCACAGGTTAAGGGCACGGAGACCCCAGGGGGAGGAGAATGCAGGGATCCACACCAGCAGGGAAAGGAAAGACGAGAGAAGATAGAGGGGCCGAAAGAGCAAAAGAGGAAGGAAGGAAGCAACGGAGCAGAAGGATTAATGCCCAACTGGACACGGAACATGACTGGAAAACAGGAAGCACTGAGGACGGAGAGAGACAGCAGGGTGACGAAGATGGAAGAAATGGGATGCAGAGGGTCGGAAGCGGGCCAGAGAGGACAAAGTGGTGAAAAGGAAACAGGAGGACGGAGCCGAGCAGCTCACATTGTTTAGTGGTGTTGTCGTTATGTGCCGCGACTCATAGCGACCCTGTGTACAACAGCCCTAAACTCTGCTCTGTCCTGTGCCAGTCGCACTGTCTCTGACATTCCCATCCCAATTATCCCAGTCACTGAATCAATCCACCTCATAGAGGGTCTTCCCCTCCTGTGCTGTCCCTCCACCCTCCCAAGCATGATGTCCTCCAAGGACCAGTCTCTCCTCACAACAAGTCCAAAGTATGTTAGATGGAGCCTCAGAATCCTTGCCTCCAAGGAGCCACACGGTTTAACCCTCTCCAGGACGAATCTGTTTGTTTTCCTAGAAGTCCATGGTATTCTCAATACTCTTCTCCAGCACCACAGCTCAAAGGCATCAATTCTCCTTCTATCCTCCTTGGTCATTGTCCAACTCTCTGATGCATAACAAGTGATTGCGAAGACCATGGCCTGTATTAGACGCACCTTAGTCTCCAGAGAGACGTAACTAGAAAAAAAATTTGTCGTGAGCATGTCTGGATTTTTCGCATACGTTGCACCCATGCACCTATCACGCTTGGGGCCTCAAGGAAGTCAGGCACCAGGGCAGCCTACTCACACTCTGCATAGGGACCTGGTTTGCAGAAACCCATCGCCTAGGAGGGATCAATGGGAAAGAACGGTACAGACTCTTAACAACTACAGCAGATCCACTTGGCGTAACCAAAAATGTTTGACGGGAGGTGACTTCTGCTCATGGTGGTGGGGCAGCTGAGAAAAAGGGAGTCGGAATGGCTGTGCTTCTCAGAGAATGTCACTGGTGTGTGCAGAAAAGTTTGAACTGGGGGTATGTTTTGCTGTGTGTATGCTTAACAACATCGTATTTGAAGTGCAACAGTGGGGAGCTCTGGTGGTCTAGTGGCAAGGAGCTGCAACTACAATCCCAGAGGCTCACGGTTCAAATCCATCAGATGCTCTGCCGGGGAAAGAGGGACAATCTCCTCCTGTACCAGTCAGATCTGATTTGACGGTACACTCGCACAAAAATAATAAAATAAAAATTAAGTGCAACAATGAATGAATGGAAATCCAAAGTCTATAAATTTTCATTAAAATTAATAATTTTTAAAAATCATATTTAAAAATAAAAACATGGGTGAACCACAGTAAATTTTTATATTATTTTAATCTTTTGTGTGTGTGGGTGTGTGTGTATACTGTCAAGTCAGATCCAACTAGGACAGAAGGAGATTGCCCCTCTTTCTCCAGCAAAGCATCTGGTGGATTCGAACCATGCACCTTTGGGATTGCAGTGCAATTTCTTGCCACTAGGCCACCAGAGCTGACTCACAGTAAATTATTGCTGTGGTCAGACTGCCAAATGAAAGTGGGGAAGCAAGCAAGATGAAAGGTCAACAGTGACCTATTTGTGTAAAAAAAATCTCAAGACACTGTATCTACAACCATATGCTTGTAGACCCATCTTGATGGTCAACTGCAGCCGGCCTGGTTGGGCTCCGGTACCTCACTGCTGGGGCATGACCTGTGATGGTGACCAAGTGTGGCTGTGTCCTCGGGTTGACTGCAAGTCGTAATGACCATCTCGATACTGGACAGAGTAGAACTGGCCATCTCCTCCCATGTTGATTTACTGCCCCTCAAAACCCACCGAGTCAGTTCTGACGGCAACAGAACCACCCCATGGGGCTGCCTGGGCAGCCGTCTTTATGCGCACATCTATTCCAAGTCTTTCTCTCAGGGAGTTGCTAGGTGGGTTCAAACTGTCACCCTTTAGCTTAGCAGCTGAATGCGTAACTCTTGTACCACCACCAGGCCTCCTCATGAGGCCTGTTGTTATGTGCCATTGAGTCGCTTGCAACTCATAGCGACTCTTATGTAACAGCTCCGAACTCGGCTCTATCTTGAGCCAACCTCACTATCTCTGACACATCTACCCCTATTTACCCCAGTCACTGAGTCAATCCATTTCTTCCAGGGTCTTCCTCTCCTACGCTGCTCCTCCAACCTCCCAAGCATGATGTCCCTCTCCAAGGACTGGTCCTGCCTTGCAACATGCCCAGAGTATGTCAGACAGAGATTCATAACCTTTGGTCCAGGGAGCAGCCTGGCTTCACTTGCTCCAGGACGAACCTGTTTTCCTAGCAATCCATAGTATATTCAGTACTCTTCTCCAGCCCCACAGTTCCAAGGCATCAATTCTTCCGTCATCCTTAGTCACTGTCCTGGTTGCCAATGCAAAGCAAGTAATTGCAAAGACCTTGGCCTGAATCAGATTGACATTATTACTCTTCAGTACTCTGGAGAGACCCCTGACAGATTTCCCCAGTGCAATTCACCTTTTTTTTTTTTTTTTTTTAAAAAAAAAAAGAATTTTATAGATCTGATTTGACGGTACATGCACACACACAAATAATAAAATAAAAAAAATAATTTTATTAATTTTAATGACCATTTACAAAGATTTTGGATTTCCATTCATTCATTCATTGTTGCACTTACAATTCAGATTTTGATGTACACATGATTAAGCCAGATTATTTGTCTTCATCCAATCACCTAATGACTTCACGAGCAAAGAGGTATTTATCTACCTAGACATTGTGGCAGTTAGTTATAATAATCTGTTATTAAGCAGTGGCATAGCACTTTTAAAATTATAAAGGACTATGAAAAGATTCTTGTACATAGGGTCGCTATGAGTCGCAAACAACTCGATGGCACATAACAACAGAGGGAGCGTGGGTGGCATAGTCTGTAGGGAGTGGTGCTGCTAACCCCCAAACCGAGACTATGGTGGCTCTAATCTACTATCTGCTCCATGAGATGGGGAGGCTCCGGTGTGGTCTGCATCCCCCGAACTCAATTGTGGTTGCTGTTGGGTGCCATTGAGCCGATGTTCACAGCAACCCTGTGAACAGATCTGAACCCTGTCCTATCCTGCATTGCTATCCCATCCCATTGCTGCAGTCGCTGTGTCAATCCATCTCGTTCAGAGTCTTCTCTCCTTCACTGTCCCTCTCCAAACCCAACGGAGGGTCAGTTGTGATCTGGTTCTCATTTCATGGTAATGGGTTGATTCTCCCTCCAGAGTAGACTGACAAGTTGCCAGAACCCATCACTGTTTTCATCATCTCTGTCACATACGGGCTTGGGGACATCAGCCTGCAGAAGTTGCCCACCTGCCCTACACATCGTCTTCTAGTTCTGTTTCTCTAGAGAATCCTAAGATTGTCTAGCAGTATGGATTCACCAGTTGTTTCCTGAAAGATGCACAATTGCTTCCTATGCAGCTAATTGAAGTTTCAGAAACCTCACTAGGGGCTCAGCTATGAGCTGTTTCTGACTTCACAACAAATGAAGTATTTTTTTTAAGTATGTGTGTATACACACACACACACACACACACACACACACACACACACACACACACGAAGTTTGTTTCAGAGCTGGGCAGGCTGGTATGGCCTCTGGTCAAGATGGGTGCACAACTGTTCATGTATTTTATCAATGCAGTTGTGTCTGAATTTCCTTTTACAATTATTTTCTCACACATTTGCTAGATTGCTCCGTTTTCTGAATTTCACTCATCTCTAGCTGCAAATGCATGATCCAAAAGCTAAGAGGCCCTATCAACCAAGGAATGGATAGAGCAGCTCTGGTATATCCATACAATGGAATACTATGCTGCACTGAAAAACAAGGAACTCATGAAATATTACTCAAAATGGGTGACCCTGGAGGACGTTATATTGAGTGAAATATCTCAGTCACAAAAAGACAAATGCTGCATAGTGCCACCGTTGTAAAACAGGACTGACATCGGGGTTGGGGGGAGACTGAGAAAGAGGGGATAAATAACGAATACTGCATTGAAACAGATGAGGGAGAGAGCTCTTTAAAAAGGATAAATGATTAGGTATTACTGTCATGACAGGAGTCCAGAATGAAGATTGCATAGTGGCGTAGACTTGAGGGGAGGGACTGTATAACAATGAAAGAAATTTTCTTTTACTTTTCAAAAAGAATGAATGGAGGGGGAGAAGTGGGCAGGGGAAAAGTGCAACAATGACAATGGAAATTCAAAGTCTCTGTAAACTTTCATTATTTTTTTTAAAAAAGCAAAGAGGCCAGAAAGGAAATGGAAAGGAAGGGCATCCAGGTGTGGTGTCTTCTCACCAGGACTCCTGTCCAGTAAGCCTGCTCCATGCTGGTGACCACAGCAGCAGTCAAGCACAGGGCTGTGTTGCAGGGGCGATGTGGAGCCCTGGTGCGCCCCAGTCCTCCCAGCAATACATGGGGGAGGGGCTGGTTGTCCCAAGAGAAAACTGAGGCTCAAGACCTATGTGGGGACCTGCCTGGGGTCACAGATAAAACGGGTCAAAGGGGGCAGTCTCTAGTAGACACAGGAATAAACAGGCTCAAGACACGTGTGGGGACCTGCGTGGGTCCCAGATGGGACTTGGGCGGAACTTGCTGTGCCCTGAGGCTTTCGCCATGCCCCTTCCCACTGGTCTGTCTGCTGCTTCACGTAGGCAGCTCTGTTGCAGATGAAGGGCTCCCTGATCATCTGCATGGTGCTGGTCAGACCCCCTTCAGGGATAGGGAAGGAAGAGGTACCAGCCGTATGTAAACTAAGGCTTAGGGAAGCCCCCAGAGGGTGGTCTACCCTGGCCCACGAGGTCGGTGAGCCAGAACCCGCTTGCTGATACAAGTATGTGTGGGTGTTTCGGTAAGGAGAGGACCCACAAGCACTGCCGGTGCCGGCTGCTTCTAAGAAGCACCCGAGTGACCCGGGGAGCACTATGAGCGTGAGAACTGCTCAGGGGGGTGTTCCTGGCTGCGTGTTAAGCAGGGTTCTCCAGAGGCACCTCCAGGTGGACTTAAAAGCATCCTTTTGGGGTGAAGGTTGTCCCTTTGCACCTGGAGCGAGTCCCTGGAGAAGGGCTCTGGCCCTCCTGTGACCTCGGTACTTCGACTGTGTGATGGGGCGTCCTTCCACCCGTCCCCCCAGGAGCCCGCCCTGTGCTGGGCCAGAGCTGGCTTCTGCAGTTCTGACCGTCAAGGAGGGCCTCGGGGGTGGCAACCCCACCAGTGACTGATCCGTGTTTTGTCAACACCCCATTTCCCTGAGGAGGGGACACTTTCGATTCTGAAGAAACAAGTGACAGCTGCTTCCTTCTCCCACTTTTCGGGGATTTAATTGCTGGACACACCCTCATCACACTCCCAGCCTCCAGCACCTACTGGCCTGGGTCCCCCCCAGCTTCTGGCTCCTTGCCCACTCCCCCATCCCTCCGCTTTTCTGTTCTTATTCTCCACCCTCCGCCCCCTCCTCCATAGTGTGCAGGCTGCAAGCCCAGAGCACCTCTGGCCCACACACAGGTTTTGTTTGGTCCTCTTCATAGTGCATGTGGGGGTTTTGAGTTTGCTTTCAATTTGAATGCTGTCCTGCAGGGCCGGCCCTCTCCAGGTTCGCCACAGTCCCCATCATGATCTTACACCCGTCTCACACATTTTCAGCACCTGCCTGGACCCTGAAGCCACCTGAGTTTGCACATCCTTGCTGCCTGACCTGGGGACTCACACCTGGCGCCCCTTTACACCTTGCAGACCACCCGGGGGGATGATTCTCTGATGCAGAGCCCCAGCTGCCCGCCCCCGCCCAGGTTCAAATCAGCAGGCGGAGGGCAGGGATCCGAAAACTCAAAATGCCTACAGTGGCCAGGCGGGTCACACAAGTGAGTGAACTAGCCAGGGATAAGGAAAGCCGACTGCCAGAAATACCATCAAACTGCATCTTTACTGAACCATGGTGGGTGGAGCAAAATACAGACAGGTATGAGTGTTGGGGGGAAAGGGGAGTTGTTTATATTCCAAAAGGCAGAATTGAAAAAATACAAGTTGGAAAAATAGAAGTATCTCATTATTAAAATTCTTCTCTTGCAATAACGTTTTGATCGGAAGTGGGGAGACTGACTTTTCGCCCCCGTTGTCAGGGTCCAGTCCCAGGTGTTTTGGAGCCATGGGGCAGTGGGGGACGCAACCCTGAACCCTGGAACTGGGGGCCAGGTTGGATTCAATTCAGTGTCTTAACGGAAAACAGCTGTTTGGGAGCGTGGGGTACTTCCCACACCCGATGTTTGGGATGACTAGATGGGGGAGCTGCGGAATGCTTTTTGGACATGGTTCTGTTTAGGGGTCTAAGCCCTATTGCACTGTAGTTCCAGAACTCCGATTTGGGGTGTGCATTGTCACAGCCAACAGTAACTGGGCAGAGGCCATCTTCCTCAAGTCTGAATGCAAAGGGTCTTTGGGGGGGTTTGGTCTTCAGCCACCGATGGGGGGGGGGGAATGTGTTTCAGGCCGTGGCCTCCACCGTGGACACCAATGGCCACAAAGAGCTGCCGGATTGCTCCCTGCCGGCGGCGTCCCTCACGTGGCCAGGACGGAGTATGTGATCATACATTCAAGTAGCTTGTTAGGGAATCAATGTCCCTTGTGGAAAAGTGTTCAGAAGGCGTCACCTCGACCCCAGGTCCCTGCCAGACCTCATGGGGGAGCCCAGGGGTGGTTTCCCCTTATCTGAAAGCAACTCAGTAGATTTCCGTTTCGGTTTCTTCCACACCATGGAGGGACAAGTGAGGCACCGAGTCCCGGGGGGCTCAGGCGCCCGGCTGAGGTGAAAGCAGACAGTAGTGGCAGCGAGGGCTGTGAAAGGAGTGTCAGTGACAGCCGTGACGACCCGCTTAGTTCACAGAACGCTTGGATTCCTCGTAAACGACACACGAAGGACGTGCATGTCCTCGTCACAGGTGGCCACCCTGGATCCAGGGGTCCTGGACGCAGGTCTCCGGATGTGGACAGCCGTCTGCTGGAGAACTCTGCCAGGCCTGGGTGAGATGTGCTTCTCTCAGTCCACAGGGCAGCGGTCCCCCACCCCGAGGGGCAGAGGCTGCACCAGGAGGGCCACAGAGTCCCAGCCAGGCTCACGTTGCGACTGTCAACGTGCCCAAAACAGCAGTGAGAGGAAAAGGCCAGTGGGCTTGGCACCCGCGGGCAGCTGGACTTGAAACTCCTCCGATTTCACCTTCGACTCGCCTCGCTGTGCCAAATGCTCCTTGGTGCTGAGCTGAACAGGCGCTGCTCTGCTGGGGTGCGGACCCCCCGTCTGGAGGTCTGGGGGCCCCGGCCAGCCCACCCCTGAGGCTCACGGCTGCACCTTCTCTGCGGGGTGGTCTACTGACTCTTGAGGCCCTCTTTGAGCTCGTGGAGGATGGCGTCTCGCGTCTGCTCCGTGTACTGGTCGTAGCTCTTGCTGTGCTTGGACTTATAGTGGCGTCTCAGGTTGTACTCTTTCAACACTGACACGTTTTTTTTGCATATAAGACACGTGGGAATGCTCTTCACCTCCACAAAGAAATAGGCTCGCTCCCATTTCTCTCGGAACACACGGCCCTCGCCTTCTCGCTTTCGTTTTGCCGCTTTTGATAGAGACATGGTTACAAGAGAGATTTCACTTTTCTCTTAATGCCACCATGGGGGGGGGAATCCCACAGCGTGAGCCCCAACTCTCATGGCAAAGGACCCTCTGCCTCACGGTGGGGGAGCCAAGAGGGAGTGGTGGGGACTGTGGCGAACAGGAGAGCACACCCCCTTCTAAGGGGCCACGGGGCCAAGCCCCTGGTGGCTAAGCAGAGGGGTGGGCCTGGGGACCAGCTCGGCAGAGACCCTCGGGCTGTTTCGGCATGTGTGAAGCACCCCAATTTTCACACCTAGTTCCAGAGGAGAAGAGAGTGCCCGTCTGCTGACAGAGAGAGCCAAACAAAACCTATCTGTCGCCCACTCCCACTCTTCGGGCCCAGGAGTCTGCATTCCCACCAGAGACTCAGCCGTGGGTGGTCGCATCGGGACCACCGGCTGAGGCGTGCCAGTCCACAGTCAACCACCAGGTGGTCTCTCACTGCCCGTCACCAAGCCAGACCTCACTATCTGCCTGTCCCTGGTCAGCTGAGGGCGCCCCCTCACCTCACCACACCCAACCTCACTTCTGCCTGAGGGGGACGGTCCCTGGTCCATCCCCTTCAAAGCCCTAGGTCCTTCTTGTCCACTCCTGCAGCTACAACTTACACACTCACATTGTCCCCTAAGCATATATTCTGAGATCCAGCCATGGCCTGTCTCCCAAACCTCATCTGGACTAAGGACACCCACTGCCAACTCCTCTTCCTACTTCCCTGGACACAGATGGAGGTCCTGTCCCATCCTCCCCGCTGCAGCCCCACTCCTAATTTCTCTAGCTCTCCCCAGGACCACCACCCCAGCCCTCCTTGTTGTCCTGTCCTATGCCACAGTCCACAGGGGTCTTTCTGACACCCAGAGTGGACCCCAGCCCTGACCCCCCTGCACCGACACTCCTGTCCCTGGTACCCGGGTCACCTGGCCTCACCACATCCTACTTCTCTTTGCAGCTCACGTGTTACCTCCTTCTCCTGGGAGTTTGCCCTGATGCCTCGGCTGGGCTGTGTGCCTCTCCAGGCTCCACGCCACCTGCCTCCTCCATTGGAGCCCATGGCCCTGCAGCCTACCTGCCTGCGCTCTGCACCTCAGGAGGGTCCTCCCTGAGCTGGACCCAACCAGACTGTCTCCTGTGACTTGTCACTGAGACCTGGTCTCACCAGCCCAGGGCCTCCACGAGGTCTGCTGAGGCAAGAACAAGGACAGAGGTGCGTCCCCCGTCTCCTCCTGCCCAGTCCTGGGGGACGTCAGTGATGGGAGCCGGGGCATGTGTTAAAAGGAACTTTATTGGGTGTTGGGGGTTCAGATGAGGTCCATGAGAATGTCGTCCTCCATGACGCTGGGCTGCAGGCCCGGCTGGGGGACTGGGCCCCGGGGACCCCCACTCAGCAGCATTTGACCTGGGGGGCAGTGGGGAAGGGACTGCATCTCCCAGTAAGCCTTCCACCCACCTCTTCTACAGCCTACGGTACCGGGTTTATCAGGGCATTCCAGGGCCACGGGCGGGGCCTGCTGACCCCAATTGGCTACGCACATGATGTTTCCCATAAACCTCTGGGAGCTGCTTCTCGGATGCCAAGATGTTTCCTGGCAAGCCCACAAGTGAGACAGGCAGGGTCATGAGAAGCACCTTTGCTCCCTTGGTCCTCGGTCTCCTGAGTCCTCAGAGCCACCCAAAGCCCATGGGGACCCCATGTCCTCAGATCCCAGGGGGCCCTGGTCTGGGGTGCTCCAGCCCACCCCACCCGGGGCCCTCTTACCTGGCAGGGGAGCCCTCGGGGGCAGCTGTGTGGGCCAGGACTGAGTGGGTGGTGGGTGGAGGAGTGGGGGTCCCAGCTGCGGTTGCCCCAGTCCCTGGTGCGGAGGGGGCAGCAGAGTGGGAGCCCCTGGAGGTTGGAGATGGTGAAGGGAAGCCTGGGGTGGGGGAACCCCACTCTGGGGCTAGAGGAACAAAGAGCACTCAGTGGCCCTATGGGAAACTAACCCCCTCCTTCCAGTTGAAAGGCCACCCGCCCTGACCCCAAGCTCACCGGTGGGGGGTTGAGGAGAAGGCTCCGCAGCTGGGGGTTGGCCCCGGGGTTCTGGGGCCTGAGGATGGGGCCAGGTGGGGGTGGGCCTGGGGCTGCTCCTGGAGGGCCTTGGGGACCTCCTGGGGGTGCCGGGGCAGCACCCTGGGGCTGGGGCTGTCCTGCTGCCCCAGAGGCCCCCACAGTGCCCTGAGGCTGGGGCTGTGGCGGGCGGAGCTGGAGCTGAAGAGAAGCAGCAGGAGTGAGGGGTCAGGGACTGAGGCCTCTGCGCCCGGAAGCCACAGATGGGTCAGAGCAAACGGTGTCCTGGGGCGGCCCCACCCGCCCTGAATCTGGCTGCCTGGGGCTCACCAGATTCTGCCCGGGCCTCGTCTGGTCCTCCAGGATGGGGCCCAGCCCAGGAGGTGCTTGCTGTGCCCCCATCTGTAGAGGAGAGAGGGACAGGCCCGCCTTGAATGTGTGCAGGAAGGATCTGACCCTGCACGTGTGTGTGTGGGGGGGGGGGGCGTGGAGCTCAGAGGAGGAAGCTGGGAGTAAACGGAGTCAAGTCTGACGTCATGGGAACCACGGGGGGGCTGCTGCACTGACAACCCCTCCCCCCTTGCTCTGGGCTCCCGCCTCTTCTGGGGCAGAAGAGGAAGGGGGTGGGGGCAGGGGGTGCGGAGCTGGGGGCTGCGCTCGCTCACCCCTCGCTGCTGCTCAAGCTTCTGCTGCTGGACCTGCTTGTGGTTGGTGATGACCTGGCGGATGCCGTTGACGAAGCCGCTCTGGTCGTAGGGGATGAGGCCCATGAAGATCTTCTTCTTGGACGAATAGAGGAGCATGAGGACGCGCACCTCGCAGGGCGCCGTGTGGGGGAAGTGCACGCAGCCCGCCTGCGGGGAGGGGGCTCATCAGACACAGCACGTCCAAGAGGGACCCCACGACTCCCCGTCTCAGGGTGTTGAAGCTCCACAGGGAAGTGGCGGTATAGTTTTTGTTTCGCAACGCTTTCTATGAGTCGCCTGGAGGTGGTGTGAGGCTACTCCAGTTACAGAAATTCAGGGGCTCAAAGGGAAAGTGGGTGCCCACGGACACAGGACGGTGGCTAAGACTCTTGTCAACTGAAGAGGTCGACAGGAAAGCACGAGAACGTTGAGAGCTGTGACGGCACAGTGTGGCTGTGAGGGAGAGGCCACAGAACCACAGAGAGGCTGGCCTGGGCACCACAGAGGTACCAGTCCAATTCCAGCAGGCTGTGGACATCCTGTCATCTACCGCTGAGTCAGAATCGACCCCACAGCTGACCCTCCAGCAGGTTTTCAGAGGCAGTAAATCGCACGGGAGGAGATTGCCCATCCTCCTGCAGAGTGGCTGGTGGATCTGAACCACGTGCCTGTGGGATCACAGCGTACCTTCTCACCACGAGGCCACCAGAGCTCATGTGGACATCCTAGGACGGTCAGAACTGAGCCCCTTAGAATGCTGTTCCGGGGACACCCCGTTCTCACAGCACAGCTGTCATGATGGGAGGAAGCCCAAGCTCCCCGGGGTGGCTGTGCGTGTGTGCTGTGGCCAGCAGGTATGGCAACCGTGTCGAGCACCATCAGGCCTTCTGAGGGCCACAGCGTCAGCCCCCATCTTCACAGCAACTCAAAAATGCCTCCGCGGCAGCGGTCAAACTCAACTCCACAAAACCACCCAAGATGTGGTAGTTTACGCCTCCGTGACAGCCCCCTTCTCCCTTCTGCAGTCTTTGCTGCCCAGAGTTTTACAACTCCAGACACTTTCTTGGCAGATCTCTTCTAGAAAAAATGCCCCCAACAAACGGGAAGCACTCAAGAGCCGGGCCTGTTCTTAGTGAAGCAGCCCTTTGCCCACGAGCCCCCGTGCTTCCTCCAATGACTGTCGCTACCTGGGCACGTCTGCCGTGTAGATGTTCCACCCTCCGGCTCATGGCCGTGAAGAGGAGTGGGCTGGGGTGACCAGCAGAGCTGGCAGCTCCGAGGGAGGAGGGAGGCCCGAGTGCACGCCCCGGGGCCCCGCCCAACACTCACAAAGCCGTTGCCCATGATGCGGTAGAGGCCTTTGAGGGACTCCAGGTCCTTGTTGGTGAAGTGGAACTGGACCATCCTCGAGTTCCGGAACAAAGGGCCCAGGGTGGTCTGGGAGAGACAGAGCTCGGTCAGCATGTCCGTGGTGGAGGGTGGGCATGTGACAGGCAAGGGGCCAGGAGGGGGGAGAGGGCAGGACGTGACAGGCAGGGTAGCCCTCGTTATCCACTCACCAGCAGCTGCTGGGGAATGAGCTGCATGATCAGCTTCTGAGGCCACTGCTCCGTCTTCCTGGGGGTGAGACGGGAGGGTCGGGAGGCTGCACCCCACCTGCCCACCCACCCTGCCCACCCTGCCCCTCCGGGTCACCTACAAGTTCTCTCCATGGTTCACGTAGACCTGGCAGGGCAGGGAGCGTGTCAGCTTGGTGTTGGCATCAACGGAGGCTGGCTTTGGCTTCTGAGCGGCCAGAAAGGTGGGGTTATAAGGGGCTCCAGCTGGGTTCCCCTCAGCTCCTGCTTGCTCTGACCCTGGGAGCCCCAAAGCACCCTGAGCTCCCATGAGCCTCGGCCCCACTCAGACCACCAATCCTGCAACCTTCCAGCCGCTGAATTCTCTAAGTCCTAGGCTCTCCCTCTGCCCCCAACCCCACACTCCTGTGGTTCCCAGATACCAAAAACCCGCGGACCTCAGTCAGGCTGAACCCCCAGAATTCTATGGACTCAGCGCCTGAAACACTCTCAACTCCTGACCTCTGGGCATGAATCCCCTGACTCTTTAGGATCATAGACACCCCCACCCCCACCTCCCAGCACCTTATCACCTGGATCCCTAAAACTCTACGCCAGTTGCCAACGCGCCCATGTGGGTCCCTCCCCCATCCACGCACCTCCTGCCACTCAAGGACACCACTCCAGGCCAAGAGTTTATTGGAGACCGACTGCTGACCCCCTAGTGCTGGGGCCCCCAGCTGGGCTGGAGAGGGGCCACTCACCCCTCCTGGGGCCACTGAGCCTGCCTGTGGAGGGGAGGAAGGAAAGTAGGTGCTAAGGGTGAGTGTGGGAGACCTCCTGACGGGGCAGGTACCCCGAAATCAGAATTGCACTCTACTGCTTCCCTGGAGGACTCCAGGTCCCACGACACTCCAGACTACAAAGCTTGGGCTCCCTAACCCACCCCAACCCTCTGGAACCACTCTCCTCAGACTGTCAGCAACCGCACAGGCATGTAGGCCACGGGGCCCTTTCTTTCCCACCCTCTGCCCTTTCTCGGCCGGGAGGAGAGGGCAGTGGAGGGTGGGCGGAAGTACTGGCACCTACCATGGAGGGGGCCCCTGGCTGCGCAGGGGGGGCCAGGCCAGGGCCGGGAGCCACGCTGGAGACCAGGCTCGGCTGCGATGCAGGTGGCGGCTTGGGGGCACCAGGAGGCCCTGTGGGCAGCGAGGCGGCTGCTGCCTGGCTGAAGGGAGGACCTACTCCAGGAGCAGCTTGCTGGAGAGGGTTGATGGGTGAGTCTAGGGGAGACAGCGGGGCCAGGGTGAGGAGACGAAGCAGTGGTCAGGAGCGAGTCGACCCTCCTCCCCAAGCCCAGAGACCCCACTCACAGCGCGGGCCCAGCGCGGCCTTCTGGTTCTTGGCGGCCTCCACTGCATTCTGGGCGGCCACCTGAGCTGCGCTGAGGTTCCCAGGGACCTAGGGGCGGGGGACGGTGAGGATCATGTGTTCCCACCACCAAAGACAGAGCCAATACCTCAAGGGGCCATGACTGCCATCACCTCTCACGGACAGGACCCAGGAACCCCACATCCCACAGGAGCTGCCCCACGCGCCCAGCACTGCACGGGGTCTCCTTCTGGTGACGCCCTACCTGGTACTGCTGAGGCACAGCGGGCAGAGGCTGCTGGGGGGCTGCCGAGAGGGCGGGACCGGCGGTCGGGGCTGGAGGCAGGGGGACGGGCTGCTTTGCCTGGAGGGAGCCCGGAGCCGAACCGCCCCCAACTGAAAGCCAGGAGGAGGAGAGGAATCGAGGGGGGAAGAGAGTCAGATGAGCGGGAGGAATCCGGGAAGATCTAGACCCGCACCCGCACCCTCACCCCCGAGCCAGGGCCCAGCCTCACCCGGCAGCACGAGCCCCCGCACCAGCACCATGTGCCGGGGGTCCTGGCTCACGTCGGTCGGTGCCTGCAGCGGCTCCAGCATAGCCGGGGGAGCCGCCTTCTCGAACAGAAGACGCAGGGCAGGCAGCTTCCGGGGAGAGACGATGGAGAAGTGGATGCCGCGCTGCAGGGACAGGGAGGCGTTAGCAGGGGGCCTTCCTCAGGCAGCCAGGAGGCTGGGCCCCGGGTCCCCAGAACTCTAACTCCCACGGGCCGAGGGCAGGGACCAGTGGACGACAGCTCCGGGGGAGGCTGGGTCAGGGCACGTCCAACCAGCAGCAGCAGCTGGGCTGGCCACCGGCGGGTTTATGACCAGCCCGTGACGCCCTCCCCCCAGCCCCCACCTCCCCCAGGGGCCGCACCTCCCCGATCTTCTGCACGAGGTTCTCCGTCGTGCACCCCGAGTACATGGTGCTCTCCACGGCAGGCAGCAAGTACGGCGGGGAGTTACAGATGAGAAGGCAGACTCGGTGCGTCTGGCCGCTGCCGGGGACGGGAAGGGAGTGAGAATGGCGCTGAGGAGAGATCCAGCTCCAGACCCAGGCGGGGTACACAGGCCCTCCCCACGGGTGCAGCCAGGGGTGACACCCCTTACAGACACACCCCCTGCAGCTCAGAGAGGTGGTGTGCGAGCGGCCCAGGAGGCAGGAGACCAGCGCTGGCCGGCCAGCTCGAGGCCGCTCCTTGACTGGACGGGGATGCTGAGGCCCCACACTGGCCAGGACCCTTGTTCCTAACTCCCAGCCATTAGACACACACACACACTCTGATATAAAGGGGTGCGGTTTCTCAGGACAGGCACAGAGGAAGACCCAGCTTGGGGCGCACTCACATTTGCTCCCGCATCTTCTTGAAGTCGTCGAAGAGCTGCAGGGCGGTGCTGAGGCCTTCTGCGATGAGGCTGCAGCTCTCGCCTCCGCCCCCCATGAACCTGCCAGGACAGAAGCCCCACCCTCAGCGCCCCTGGACACCCCGAGTCCATGTGGGAGCCCGCCTCCACCCCTCTGCTGGACTGAGCACTTTGGGAGGACGAGTACAGGGTCGAGAGCCTGGTCCTGTCCCTGCTACCAGCACAGTACCCTGGCCGGAGGGCACAGGTAGGACACGTATAATCTCCCCTCAGAAGAGCCACGCGGGGGTAACTCTGGCGGTCCCCTGGGCTCTAATGTGAATTACATGTCGTAAGCGTTAAGCTGGTTGTTTTGCCGTGTAGTCCACAGACCCAGAGGCCGCACCTCTCTGGTGGTTCAAATCCAGAAGGTCGGAAAAGAAAAAAGAAAAGAGGGAAATCTCCTCTCATGCCATTTGAAGTCTCGGAAATCCACGAGAGGGTCAGCAATGAGTGGGTTCTAATTCAATGGCTATGAATTTTTATTTTCAACGATAGAATAAAAAATAATGCAATGTGCTCACTTTGGCAGTATACACACCGAAACGGAAACGATACACAGAAGATTAGCAAAGTCCGGTGCAAGGATGACATGCAAAGTCGTCAAGTGTTGAGTGTTTTTTTTTTTAAAAAAAAATGAAAGTAAGGGAGCTCTGGTGGCCTAATGGCAAGAAGCTGCACTGCAATCCCAGAGGCACACGGTTCAAATACACCCTCTGCCGAGGAAGGAGGGGCAATCTCCTCCTGTACCAGTCAGATCCGATTTGACGGTACACACACACACACTAAAAAAAAAAAAAAAAAGTAAGGAAGCTCTGGCGGCCTAGTGGCAAAAAGCTGCGCTGCAATCCCAGAGGTATGCGGTTCAAATCCACCAGATGCTCTGCTGGAGAAGGAGGGGCAATCTCCTCCTGTACCAGTCAGATCTGATTTGACAGTAAACACAAGACAAAATAAAAAGAAAATTAAAAAAATGGAATGTGAAGGAAAAAAAAATTCCTATTTTGAGCTTCCACGAATGATTTCAGCCTGGCGAGCTCTGGTGGCCTAGTGGCAGGAAACTGCACTGCAATCCCAGAGGTGCGCGGTTCAAATCCACCAGATGCTCTGCTGAAGAAGGAGGGACAATCGCCTCCTGTACCAGTCAGATCCAGTTTGACGGTACACACATTAAAAAAAAAAACAAACCAAAACGAATGATTTCAGCCTTTGCTATGACATCAGAAAAAGGAGTCTGATGACTTGCTCCCAAAAGTTCAGAGCCCTAAAAAGCCTGGAGTGGACTTTTCCATGACACACACAGGCCAGAAAACAACCGCTGTTATGCAGGGGAAGGCCTTTTATTTTATTTTTTTTAAATTTTTGTGTGTGCGTACCATCAAATCGGATCTGACTGATACAGGAGGAGACTGTCCCTCCTTCCCCAGCAGAGCATCTGGTGGATTCGAACTGCACACCTCTGGGATTGCAGTGCAGCTTCTTGCCACTAGGCCACCAGAGCTTGCCAAGGGGAAGCCCTCTGTATAGGAATTTTCATTAAAAGTCAATCTTCAGAAAGCAAGAGTGTTGCAATCCAAGAGGCGCACGGTTCGAATCCACCAGATGCTCTGCTGGAGAAGGAGGGGCAATCTCCTCCTGTACCTGTCAGATCTGATTTGACGGTACATACACAAAAATAATAAATTAAAAAAAAAAAAAGAAAGAGTGTTTGAAAGTCACACTGTGTTCCTCATTCCTCCCGCTGCTGGCAAAGAAGTCAGTTTCAGATGGTCTTTCTGGCCACAGCCTTGCCATCATCAAAAAAGGCTGGGTGAGACTTTGTGAATAAGGTGCTTACATCCCACTGAGAGGACTGAATAGCTTTGGGATAATGTGTATTGTCTGAGTTCCGTGTGACCACAGCCACAAAGAATCAATCCCAGGTGAGAGACAGACAGGGACAGCTGGTGTGAGAATTAGCAAAAAAAAGACTGAAAATGTAGGCATTTCCCTCAGATGCTCTCTAAACGCCTTTTTTCTTCTTTTTAAACAAGAGTGAACCAAACTGGATTTTCTTGCCATCCCTGCCTTCTGAAAGCTCGCTCTGATGTAACTGAAACAATATTAAATGACTACATGGAAGGTCAAATAACAATGACTTCTAAGAACGTTAAAGGCTTTTAAAAATTTTATCAGCCGACTGGAAAGATTCCCAGTGAGCTCACAAAAGCGTTTTTATTTGTTAAAACAGACAATGTGTCCTGAGTCGACTGGGAGGAGGATAGACGTGACGCAAGTATTTAGAAAGTTTTTCTGTTACTCCTCGCTGGGACCTGCTGCCTCCCGAGTCTCGCCCCTCTGTCTTGGCAACCCCTGTGCACAGGGGAACAGCCCTCTAGGCCTGTCATGGCTGTTACTTCTGGAGCAGACGTGAATCAACAACTTTGAAGTCAATCATCTCAACTCACTTCTGTGGAGTCAGGAAGTGACTCACAGCAGACCCTCCAGCGCGTTGTCAGGGGATGCAAATCACACAGGCGCAACTGTTCACCTTTCTCCCCAGAAGCAGCTAGCTGGTGGATTCAAACTGCTCACCTCTGGCTTGGCAGGGAACTCCCGAGTGACTAGGCCACACAAACTCCCTTTCAGGTTTGTAGCTGATCCAAACCGTTTGCATAAACCCAACAATTTTGTTATACACAACTGCTAAGAACTATTATAAAACAACACAGGCACTCTCGAGGTCACGGTTTACAGATGGCCTCTATCAGATCAGGCAGAGGGAAAGGGACTCCCGGGTTTGAGAGTTAGGTTAAGATCCAGGTGGCCTAGCTGCAAGAGGGTGCAATGCAATCCCCTAGGTACGTGGTTCGAATCCACAGATGCTCTGCTGGAGAAGGAGGGGCAATCTCCTCCTGTACCAGTCAGCTCCAATTTGATGGTACACACACAAAAACAAAACAAAACAAAAGAAAGAAGAATCAAGTTCTAAGCAGTCTACATGTACTTATAACTTGTTAGTCAAATTTGTGTCTTCTAGGTTGCAACACCCCCATGATACATCTTGAAGGATATGTACATGTACAGCCAAGCACAATCAATAAGAGTGCATCTGAATTCCAAAATCAATCTCCATAATAGTCTATGTGTTTCCTACTGCCAAAGGGGCCCTTTAGAGTAGTGAGAGATCTTCACCCTGAAACCCACAGCGTCCCTTTTCAGCAGGAAGTAGCTAAGAGAATACGCCGTCCCCTTTTCCTTATGACTCAGGGTGAAGTCTCTCTCAGGGAGGAGTGATAGGGAATGGCAAAGGATACACTGACAAAGAAGATTAATCAGAACTGGCTTTGACAAGCACTGTGGCATTTGGACAAGAACAAACTGGGAGGAGGGTAAAGAGAATAGTGCAACAATGAATGAGTGGAAGCCCAAAATCTCTGTAAATGTTTATGAAAATTAATAAAATATAATTTAAAAAAAAAAAAAGTTCTAAGCAGTCTAAAACTTCTCCTAGAGCTTGGTATACAGAAAGGTTATGATCCAGCTGTGACTAGAGCCCAGAATGTAAGACTACAGAGTCTGTGGTGTCAACTCTCAAAAATGTGATGGAAAAAAACCAGAAAGATCCAGTGGGTTGAATGCCTACCCCTGCCTGCCTGCCTGAACCAGACTCACAAGACTTCAGTGTCATTCCAGTGCCCCTGGATCAATTCCACTCTAGTCAGAGACGCCCGTAAGACAAAGAGGGACTGCCCCATAGGATTTTCTAAATTATAGCCTAAACGGTTTTCTATATTATCATCTACATGGGAGCACTAGGTCTTTTGCTAGTTGGGTTCGAAACACCAGCCTTCAGGTTAAGTCAAGCACTTAAACAGTATGTTATTGGGGTTCCCCGGCTTCAATGCACCTGTCAGGAAAAAGGCTGGTGGGAAACGGGGTAGTGAAGGGAGGGCAACCATTGACAGAAGATCTGACTGGCAAGTGGCTTAAGCTTCAAAACTGTCACAGAAATGACTCAGGGACAAACCCACACATGCCCCCTTCCTGGAGAACTTCATGCCACTCAGAGTGAATGCTGTCTGCAGTTCCCACCCGATACCAGGGGTTCCTGGGGTCCCCCCAACCCATCCCAGGCAGGTAAGAAACTCACTTAATGCCATCCAGCCAGGTGACGAACTCATAGGCACTACTGGTCGGAGCGTGACACTGGACGTAGGACTCGGGGGCACAGTCGACGGTGTTGAACACGACCAGGCTGTACTGGGTCCCCCCATACTGAGATGGGAAGAGAGAAGAGCATTTAATCCAGGGCCCCTTCGGCCCTCAGATCCATCCTGAAAGCATCTCCCCCTAACTCAGACATGGGGCCCTGGGGCCTCAGTTTCCTCTCTCCGACCTGCAGTCCCATTTTACCCCCAACTCCTGCTTCAGATGTAGGAATCCCGGCCTGGATCCCCTCTTCTTTCAGACTTGCAGGCGGGGAGCCCCCAAACCCTCTTCCTGAGGACTTGGGGGCCCTCCCCACTTCCTCTCTCTCACCCAGGAGGCCCATCCCCCCATCCCCCTCCCCCAGACTGGAAATGCAGGTCCCTGGTCCCCTCCTCCCTCGGATGTAGGAATCTGGGCTCCTTTCGCCTTCAAACCAGCGGGGACCCCACATTCGTCTTGTCTTCAGACCCAGGTGTCTGGTCCAACCACCTTCCCGCCCCTCCCCCCCGAGAGCCCAGAACCCGGGCCCCTCATTTCTCAAATTCTGCAATCAAAGCTCTGAGCACCCTCTTCGCTCAGATCCAGGCGGGGGTCCCGGGGACTCACGTCTCCCCCGAAGTCCGTCTCCGCGGGAGGACCACCATTAAAGTACCTGTGAGAGTCAAAAGTGAAAGGTCGGGGTCAGCCGGGGGTTTGGGGGGCGCGGCCGGGGGGAACCCAGAGTCTCGGAGGTACGCGGAAGCCACACTCACTCAATGGCCGGGAGCAGGTAGTGCTTGCGGAGTCCCTCGAAGTAGGGCCCCAAATTGGCGGTCCCCTCGATCACAAACACCACGTCGGCCACCAGGCCCCCGGCGCGGGCCGGGCCCTCCGACCCGGGGACCATGCCCCGAGCCACAGCCGCCACTGCTGCCGCCGCCACCGCAACCGCCGCGGAGTAACCGCCGGTGCTCATGCGCCGCGCGCACACCGGGGCGGGGCGGTGTCACACCGCTGCTGACGCGCCCGTCGCCATATTTGTGTCTGGCAACCCGGGATATTTTGCGCCTGTCTCCCCGACCCCGCCTCCCCAAATGGGAGATTCCGAAAAAGCTAGTGAATCTTTTGAGGGACCGGTTGTAGGAAACTAGATTATTGACTGAATTTGTGGAAAACAACATACATTCAAAGAGGCCGCCGCTGGCCGCCATCTTTGAGTAGGGCATTGTTATTTTCAACTCCACTAAAGGTCACAGGCAAGAGATTTGATTGGTAGACGACCCGGTAGCTGACTCGCCAGGTAACGTAAACAAATTAGCCAGCAGCTATGTTCTCCCTGGCAAAAGGGAGTGCGGAGAAGGGTCCAATCGCATTATGCCAAACGACGTTGCTAGGCAACGCCTTAAGGTTACAGTCGACTTGCAAAGGAGTATTGATGTCCACTCCCCCAAAGCAGCCTGGTTCCATTTCAAGTGGAGGTTGCTAGGCAACACAGAATGGCTTTGGTGTTTTGTTTTGTTTTTTTCCTGGCGAGAGGCCAGAAACAGAGGAAAACATAAATACATTCCAGGTGGATTAAAAATGTAACTATTATAGTTGCATTTATTCCGTTTATTATAAACGGAACCAACAAAATATCCAAAGTATGCTGTAGAAGCTAAACACTGGATAAGTTTCTTGGGAGGTATAACGAGATATCGTAAAATATTGATCAATTTGTCCGCAAAAGACTTCACAACTAAATTGAAATAATATAAAGTAGGAAGATTTCTTTATTTTTTTCCTTAAACTGGAAAGATTTCTAATGCACGTGTTGACAGAGATGCAAAAAATATCTTTCCCCCTCCTTATTAACATTTTAATACTTTTGAAAGATCTTACAAATTCACAGCATTCGTAGGGATTTACTCTTACATTCTTTTTTTCTTTATAAATTTTCCCCCCATTGTTGAACATTTTCTTCTCTTTTTCCCTCCCCCCCCCCGTCGCAATGAACTTTTTGTTTCAGAGTGTTGTCATATATGTTAAAATTGACGGAAAACCTCATAAGCAGTTCTTTAAAATCAAGAACACCAAGTGTCTATATATATATAATGCTAATCATACATTTCTTTCGGAAATTTCTTTCCCTTCATCTGTTCTAATTCAGCGTTCATTATATATCCACATTTTTTTCTCATTCTTTCCCCAACCCCCATATCTATCCTATTTTACGACAGCAGTGTTATTCAGTATTTGTCCTTTCGAGACTGAGATATTTCACTCATTATAATGTCTTCCACGGTCTCCATGTTGTGTAATGTTTTACCAGTTCATTGTTTTACAAGGCTGCCTAATAGTCCGTTGTGTGACTGTAGTTTTTCTATCCATTTATATGTGGATGGGCACTTGGGTTGCTTTTCTATCTCTTTGCTATTGCGAATAATGTAGCAATGAATTTTAATCATTGTTGGTTTTGTTATGTGCCACGGAGTCAGAACCAAGGCGTGACTGACCCCTCCCCTCCAGAGGGTTTACAGAGTCAGCAAATTGCAGGAGAGGAAACTGCCCATTTTTCTCCCTGGATTCTAATGGACTCAAATTGCCTGAGTGAATTAAAAGTGTCTGAGTTTGAGTTGGCAGCACCGCTCCTTACCAATTAGGCCACCAGAAATCCCTTTAAGGATTAGGGTTAATGTTGATCATTAAGAATTTTCAGTGGCAAGGAGCTGCAACTACAATCCCAGAGGTGCACGGTTCAAATCCACCAGATGTTCTGCCGGGGAAGGAGGGTCAATCTCCTGTACCAGTCAGATCTGATTTGGTGGTACATTCACACAAAAATAATAAAAATTTTAAAAAAAATTTTTAAAAAGAATTTTCAAAGGGAGTTGTGTAGGACTAGTTCCAAGAAGCTGCACTGCAATCCTAAAGGCTCAGGGTTTGAATCCACCAGATGCTCTACTGGAGAAGGAGAGGCAATCTCTTCCTGTGCCAAGCAGATCTGACTCCACTGTACTTACACACACAAGGAATTTACAAACAGACATGCTGCCTTTTAAAACATAGGAAGGATTCTAAGCAGGCTTTGCAAAAAGAATAATTACAAGGTCCCAGTAAACACAAGGAGCTCTAGGACCTAGTGGTAAGGGATTGTGCTGTCAACTCAGACTCGGGGAATTCGAATCCATTAGAATCCAGGGAGAAAAATGGTAAATCTCCCATTCAGCTGCTTTGCTGGAGAAAGGTGGATAGTCGCTGCCAGTGTGATTTACTGCCTCTGAAAACCTGGTGGACGGTCAGCAATGAGTCTGGAGGGTAAATAACAAATACATGAAAACTCATCCCCTGTAATTCAGAAGTGCTAACAGAAAGTATAGTGAGAACTGTTTGTGGTTTTCGTGTTAATAGATGCTGAAAAGAACAATAATGTCTATGGAGCTGGAGGGCTTGCATAGGATGAGAAATCCCACGCACTGTCAAAGGTGCCACCGTGCAGTTTGACAAAATATTTTTTTTAAATGTCATTATTTTTTGTGTGTACCATCAAATCCGATCTGACTGGTACAGAAGGAGATTGTTCCTCCTGCTCCAGCAGAGCATCTGGTGGATTCAAACCGCGCACCTCTGAGATTGCAGTGCAGCTTCTTGCCACTAGGCCACCAGAGCTCGCCTGACAACATATTTTCAAGCCATGAAATATGCATAGCGTTTGCCTTAAATTAACAGTATCATTCCAATCCCTGTGAATGTTCATTGAAACTAATAAAATTTAATAATAATAAAAAAAAAACACCCCAGTATCATTCCGTTAACCCAAAACTAAACCAAAGCAGCTGTGGATCCTGCAAGCAGATTCCAGCACATTCTGAAGCTCCGGGGAGATTCTGAGGCTGTAAATACTTTTTTTTTCCTCTTCTTCTCCCTGCCTCTTTTTAAACAGTCCCTCGGTAAGGACTATCCACTTAGCTTTGTATCCAAAGACGAAATTTGTAGGTGAAAGGAGTTAGGAGTTAGCCTTTGTTACAGACTGGTTCATTTCAGGGTCGAAAATATGGAACGCTTCACGAATTTGCGTGTCATCCTTGCGCAGGGGCCATGCTAATCTTCTCTGTATCGTTCCAATTTTAGTATATGTGCTGCCGAAGTGAGCACTGTAAATACTTTTTAATATTCATTTTTAATATTTTTTTAAATTAATTGTAGCGAAAGTTTACAGAGACTTTGGACTTCCATTCATTCATTGTTGTACTCCAGATGTGGTTGTTACTGTTGTTAGGTGCCATCAAGTTGTGTACGACCCATAGCGACCCTATGAACAGTAGAGTGACCAGTACTTGCACCTTAGACGATGATGGGAAACATGTATGCAGAGCAGATTATCCGAGAGGCTGGGCTCTATGAGGAGAATTGTGGCATCAGGATTGGTGGAAGATCTATCAACAATCTCCATTATGCAGATGACACAACCTTGCTTGCTGAAACTGAGGAGGACCTCATGCACTTGCTGCGAAGGGTCAAGGACTGCAGCCTTCAGTATGGACTAAGGCTCAAAGTCAAGAAGACAAAGATTCTCGCCACTGGACCAATTGGCAGCGTCAGGATGGATGACGAAGAGATTGAGAGTGTTCACAGCTTCACTTTGCTCGGCTCCACAGTTAACACTCTTGGTACCAGCAGTCAGGAAATCAAAAAGCGTATCGCGATGGGAAAGTCTGCCATTAGGGACCTCTCAAAGGTACTCAGGAGCAACAGTGTCTCTCTGGAGACTAAGGTGCGCCTGATACAGGCCATGGTCTTTGCAATCGCTTGTTATGCATCAGAGAGTTGGACAATGACTAGGGAGGACAGAAGGAGAGTGGATGCTTTTGAGCTGTGGTGCTGGAGAAGGGTACTGAATGTACCCTGGACTGCCAGGAAAACAAACAGATCCATCTTGGAGAGGATTAAACCAAGCTGCTCCTTGGAGGCAAGGATTCTGGGGCTTTGTCTGACATACTTTGGACATGTTGCCAGGAGGGACGGGTCCTTGGAGAGGGACATCATGCTTGGGAGGGTGGAGGGACAGTGCAGGAGGGGAAGACCCTCTATGAGATGGATTGATTCGGTGACTGGGGTAATCGGGATGGGTGTGTCAGAGGCGGTGCGGTTGGCGCAGGATAGAGCAGGGTTTAGAGCTGTTGTGCATAGGGTCGCTATGAGTCAGAAACGACTCGATGGCACATAACAACAACAACAACATGCTTCTTCAGGTTGGGTTCCTCTCCCCAAATCTAGAGAAGATGCCCACCCTTTTTTAAATTGAGATTTTAATGAAAGTTTACGGAGAACTTGAATTTCCATTCATTCATTGTTGTACATTTTCCTCCCTGCCCACATCCCCGCCCCCCAGTTAGCTTTTCTCTTTGAAAAGAAAATTCATTGTTGTACAATTCCCCACCCTCACCCCAGTCCACTTTGCCATGTAGCTCTTACTCTGGACTATTGTCATGCAAACAATAACCAATAAATACTCCTTTTAAGCAGTTCTTTCCTTCACCTGTTTCAATACAGTCTACATTATTTATCCCCTCCTTAGTCTCCCCCCAAGCCCGATATCAGTCCCATTTTATAACAGTGGCATTATGCAGTATTTGTCCTTTTGTGACTGAGATATTTCACTCAGCATAATGTCCTCCAGGGTCACCCATTTTGTATAATATTTCATGAGTTCCTTGTTTTTCAATGCAGCATAGTATTCCATTGGGTGAATATACCAGAGCTTCTCATCCATTTGTTTGTTCATGGGCACTTGGGTTGTTTCCAACTCCTTGCTATTGTGAACAAAGCCGCAATAAACACGGGTGTGCATATATCAGCTTGAGTGGGCCACAAACCCCTCACTCTTGTGTGTCCTACCCAGCCATGTGGTAAGAATTACATGCACTA